CATGAACTGCTTTTGTGAACGCATGCGGAGACACGGGTTTTGCTGGAGACAGGTTTACTCTCTACCTAAGATTGGTCTGACCTTCAAGAAAAAGAGTCGGCATTTTCTATCAGCAATGTCAGTGGTTATTGAGCTTTAAAAAATATATCATAAAAATGTAATCTGGTATTAAAAAAATTATGGTTTACATTCATAACACTTTCAAGTATCTCTCTATGTGCCATGCCCTTTCTCAAAGACATTGGTGATCATGGTCTTCCATTGAGATCTGTCCATGATATTACTCAAGAACTCTGCATGAGATACGCCTTCCATTTGTATCCAATTGTTCATATTGCTCTTCTAAATTAATTCCCTGTGTTCCTCGGCTCCTTGTTTTTTTCCAGTGGAAACGTAATATTGTCTTTAGTTTTTTCATGTCACGTCCAAGAAATCGAACTTGCCTTTTTCTATGTATTCGTATATATAAATTGTGACCTGCTATGTGTAATACATGAATGCTACGCATCTTGTCTGTCCATTTATTTTATAATAATTCAAGTAAATACAATAAGTCAGACTTTTTTCTCTCTATGTTGTGCCAGTTGTGGGGAGTTTCTAGACTATACTTCACCACACTGGTCAATATGAATTGGGGGGGGGGGGGTGGACAGGACCGGTTCAGACACCACTCTCCAATGACGTTAGCCATCACTGGGGATACAAATTCAGACCACCAGGTTCATTACACAGTGCACAAACTACTGCACCACCGCTCGCCTCGAGAGCATATAAAAATGCTGAATGTCAGAACATAATTGTGTTGCTATAATATATGTTACCACAACACGTGACTGCAATTTGCAATAGGCCCTTTGTTTATTTGTGGCTGTCTCGACCCACACACCACTCTGAAATTTCCATTACCCTCCGAATACTTACACTGAAGCAGAAGAGAACAGAATGATTACATTTACAGAAGACATCGTGAAATAACAACGATGATAATAATACTACTACATGTGATACGCATAAGCAAATCAATACTTAAATGTTCATTATTACGGCAGAATGTGAAAAAGGCAGGATCAAAAGACATCACCCGCAACAGGGTTAAGGATTCCCAGTTTATGTAACCTGATTAGTGCCACACTTAAACATGACCCCTCAGTTTGTCTTCATGTTGGTTTCATTAGGGCAGGGATTTAATGTAATTTGCTATCAAAACGGGAAACAAAAAAAAATCTTGCGCGCCTTTGCAAACACAACAAACTCGAATGCTCTACGGTAATGTGAGCTATACATCCCAATGCAGACAACTTACGTGCACTCTAGACTCTTGCAGAAACATTCCGCTGTCGTTGAGAGCACATGCAATTTCAAAGTGTCTTCATGGTGCAAATAAACTTCGCTGATATCTTTGAAATGTGGCCCTACTTAAATATTGCCATTTTTAAGTACCAATTCTGCCCGTTGTCACGTTGCAAGATATACTAAAAGCACACCTGTAATTACAACACATGCTGCTGCCACTGCTGGCTGCGAAGCCTCGGCTCGAGGGAGATGTGAAACGCCCCAACTTTCGGTTACTTGGCCTACCCTTCCACACACGCCAGATGTATTGGAAGAGGTGAATGTAACCCACACTTTGCCCCGCCGCACGTGGCCTGCGGATCGTGACCAACTGCGGTGCACAAATGTATGTTGCTGGGGAAGACAAAGTTGGGGGTGGGATTTAAGAAGCTTGAAGCATTGTCTGAACTGCCGCGCAGGTAGAAGGAACAGACGACCTCTGGATTGCAAGTCCAGTGTGCTCACCATTGCCCCGCACCTCCGATCAGCACGGTTGGCGACGTACGGTGTGAAAGAAGTTCAACAGTGACACGTACGCCATGGCACATCTTTTAAGATATACAGTACTCCAATAAAATATGTTATGCACATGCAATATATATTTTAACACGGTCCTGTGATTGCAGGAGAGGTCTCCTGCCAACATGAATCCAATCCAGCAGGCAGTGTTTGGCCAGTGCAGGATTTTTAACCTACTGGTGCGCACAGCTGGCAACACAAGCTACTTACGAGTGGACACGGTATTAAGCCAAATTTTAATCTTTGTCTCAATCCTGCACGCTACAAAGACTGTTAGACTGATTTTTACGAGCAGCAGTTCATTTCAAAGTTCTCGGTCTAATTAAATATAGATCTGTGACTCAGAGGCATTTAGGATTGTTTTGCGAGATTGGGTAATAACATGGTGTAATTTATATAACCGACAATATCAGATTTAATTTTACATTCTATGGTTATATAAACGGTGAAGGCGTAATCCTGATATGTATTGCTCACGCTATTGTTGGCCCAAGGGCAATGAAGAGAGGAAGTTCTACTGAGCCCCCGTCAAATGGCATTTGGCCTACTCCTCCACACCTCGACAGACCTCTCGGAGGAGTTGGGAGTACGCACACTTTACTCCTCCACCACACGCGACCTGTTCGTGACAAAATAATAGTAAGTTCATTAGGTATACTATCATGCAGGATTATTATAGAGGCGGCAGTATTAAGGCCATATTGCACTGTGTTTGTGCTCAGCGTGCTGCCTGTATTAATACATTTTAAGCCCGTCAATCCAAGAGAAACTGCACACCGTTCCACGACTTATCTTGTGCTGTTATATTTTGTTTGACGGTACTCTACGCTTGGGGATTGTCTCAAACTCAGCCATAGTATGGCTCTGTGTAATAAAGCCGGTGTGGGAAGAGAAGAATGGGGAACCAGAACTCGTTCAAATGACGTTTGCCACTACTGGTAGCCATGGCTGGGAATTGAACCTCAGGTGCCAAGTTCATAGCACAGTGCACGACACGCCACCGTGCCAACTACTCGACTTGTGTATCGGGTGGTAGACACATTCATATTTACCTCTTTTATGGATACTCTACTTATATGCCTTTAAATAAATGCAGGCGCACTGGATATGATTTAATAAACATTCTAATAATTATACTACCGTGATTATTTATACATGCAGGGAAGTCTCAACTGAGTCTAGAAACTATCTTTGGGATGCTTGCCAGATTTTATTGAGTGTTTTTGTACAATCGAGGAAAACAGGAGGGTCAGGAGAAATAAAAACAAACTGTTTGCAAGAGGATAACAATCAAAAGCACGTGCAGATTATGTCTTGTTCTCGTTGGAAATGGCCAAATTCATGGCCTCTGTACTGACATTTTTTAAAAAATGTACCATTGACCTTGAAAACCCCCCAAATAACTACTGAATTTTATCCATAATAGAGGTTTTTGGGTTCGATCGCGTAGTACAGCACAGCGGTGTGTTGGAGAGCCAAGCCACAACATTTACAATCTGAGGACGACGTTTTTGCCAGTAATTACAACTAACTTCATCAATTACTGGCGAAACGTCGTACTCAGATTGTAAACGTTGTGGCTTGGCTCTCCAACACACCGGTGTGCTGCACTAGTGACGAATTGGCCACGTTCTGTTTACGTGGCAACCCTTACCAGTTGGCTGTGTCGGGTGGTGGCGGGTTTTAACGACACATTTATATATTTACCCGATCTAATCCAAAAAGCTCTATTATGGATGATATTGGTCACGAAAGCCTACGTGTTATACTGCATTTTAGATGTAAACTTTATGGAATGCTTTGTGAGGCATATTTCACCACCACCATCATCATTTCGCTTTATGTAACACCTCATACACACACACAAACCTGTCACAAAGCACCTACACACAATCGTGATCGCAACAATACAGCAAAAGCCTCGTTGAATAAATGTCGTTTTCAAATTAACCTTGAATGCTGCGGGGTTTTTCATTGATTTTAATGGACTCGGTAAGGCATTCCACAGGCTAGTGAGTGCCAATCCTACACACCTGAATGCATGATCATTTCAATGAATAGCGAGGTATCTCAGACGGCATCTGGTCCATGGGTTTCATAGTACAATGATGGGAAATAGGCCATGGGAAATATTGTACTAACAGTGGCTTCTGCCGGAATTACAGCCATGACACAGAGAGCTGAGCGAGCACAGGCGTCCCTGTTTTTTTTAAAGGTGACACGACACTCGAATTACTGAAATGTCTCAGATATGTGAACATTGAATACATTCACGGCAAATGATACATGTTAAAGAGAAAGGTGCATCAGCGGTTCTGGGTCAACACCTTCAAAAATGGAGCCCCCCGCTGTGATATTGTTTGAGGTGTATGTATGGAATTAATTTGAAGTAAATGCCGAGGAGCATTAAAAAGCCCAATACAAGGCCATACGGTACGGTTAAAGTCTTTTGAGAATAAGAGACTTGAAAAAAATCACACACATCTTATACTGTATTTGGGATCATGGTTTCAAACCTCCGATTATCAGGGTTGACTGTGTACGGTGCAAAAGAAGTTCAACGTCGGTGAGACACAACTCCCTTTGTCTTTCTCCTTTGGTTCTTTCAGTAAAGTCACGTAGAATGAGAATAAAATAATAAATTAATACAATAAAATAACACAATAAAATTCTCACCACGTTTCGGCCACAACACAAGTGGCCTTCATCAGGTGAAGGGACGAGACTGTCTGTGTTATTTTATTTTATTAATGTATTATTTTATTCTCACTCTACGTGATTTTACCGAAAGAACCAAAGAAGATGAATCCTTGCAGTCACGAAAGCTTTCAATCGAAATTTCCCTTTGTCTTTCTTGACCAATCAAACAATTGAATGAGAGAGGTGTTGCCGCCGTGCATTGCAGAACGAAGCGGTAGACAATGCGAGTGTGGCAGGCTCTTTGAACAACAGCAACAATAACCACAATAAAAAAAACATCCCGTTCTCAAGCTCGTCACTGCGCATCTCGTAACCGCGCGTTGACGCTCGAGGTGACGAAACGGGCGTCGAGATGGGCAAGCGGACACTGACGCAGACGTTTCGATCGCAACAATAAGCGATCGTCATCAGGAGGATCGCTTGTGTTGTGATCGAAACGTCGTAGTTTTTTTTGTTATTTTCTTTCAACGTATCTGCGTGACTTTACCGAAAGACCCAAAGAAATGTAAAAAAAAACCGCCGTTAAATCGGAGGACGTTCGTGATATTTAGCCTCGGAATTTACAGCCCTTATAACACGACGTTCGAGTCCTTTGAATCATAGCCTCCGACTATATAAAAAGAAGGAAGGGGGGCGGGGGGGGGGTGCGTTCCTTTTTGTTTCATGTCGGTTCAGGGGACACTTTCCCTGTCCGTGACAGTTCTGCCGGATCGTGGAGCGGGGACTTTTGTGTGTGTGTGTTGTTCCCTCTTCTCGCGGGCAGCTGCCCAGACAGGCATCGCGTTCTTTCACCTGCTCCTTGAGATGTACACGTGCCCGCGCCAAATTGAGCGGACATCTTCGCTCGCTGTCGGCAAAAAAAAAATGTAAACACGCTGGTAACACAAACAGCCGAACGGATCGTTGGGAGCGCGTTTGCATTGACTTAAACAGCAGCGCAAAAAATGCCGAGTATTAGCAGACGTCGGTGGCAAGCGCGTAGTGGGGTTTGTTGTTGTTTAATCCCTCGGTATTGTACACGCGACGATAAAAAAATAGAATCCCGTTTTGGAATTGCGAACGTGGCGCACACTCCGTGGACATTTACCCCCCCAAAAAAAGAGCCCTCTCGGGAAATGGACTTTGTCCTTGATGCAAAAAAAATAGAACAAAGGATGATTTCAAGTCAAGCCACCCTCACCGCTAGGTGGCACGTGAAGAGTTGTTTTAAAACGAGAGCGACTGCGCACTGCGTCTTTGCAGCAGTATAATAATAACATGACCTTTTTAGGGGGAGGTTGGGGGGAGGGAATGAGGCTTCCAACTCTGATTTGTAAATGCACCCATGAAATACAAGCACTTTAATTGACTGTTGCCTTAAATCATGTAAAAGAAGACTTTGGCATTAAAGATTTATAAAAATCATTACAGCACGAAATACGATCAAGTGTGGCCAGTTTCTGCTGACAGCATGATTTATAGAATTGCGGTGTAATTACATGACTCAAGCACTTAATCAATAAGGTGTACAAGAACACTCTAATAACCCTATTGTTTCAAAATGCATGCTAAAACCCAGAGTAAGGATTACGGAACAAAAGCACTTAATGCGCCCCAAAACAGAACTATTTGAATTAAAGTAATCTGATTCTTTTAATGCTATGCACATAATGCTAAGGGGGGAAAGAGGCTCATCAACTTGTTTGTTATGTTGTTGTTTTTCTTAATTCAAATTAGCATCACTAGCAAAACAATTAAAAAGCTTTGTAATGGAGGCAATAATTTAGATTCTGCGATACAGATGGTGGTGTGTTTTTTTGTGGGCCCCAGTGGAAACCATGGGTTTGGGAGCACTCAACGCTGAGACATATTCCCCCAGTAACTGCTCACAAATGTTTGGTGTCTGAAAGTGTGGCCCAAATGTAAGAAACCATTCGTGCGGGGCATTTAATTCACACGGGGCTGGAAACACCAAAGCACGAGACACTGTATATGAGGATTTTTTTTTAAGACAATGAGACGTCGTGCACTGTTGTCATGGCCTCGGTTGTGCACAATTATGAAATATTTTTTTATAAACATTAATAAAGATCCTATTTTTAAATGTTTGACATTTGATGCTGGATGCCACTTCTTGAGCTATTGTTACCATAGCCATGGTAATGATCGATTGCCAAACCGTGATCGATGCAAGTGTCATAAAAGTGTAGGGGCAATTGGATGACGCTCATATTCACTGGCGTTCCTGAGCCATTGATGGACATTCCACATTTCTATGGTAGGGACAAACCTCTCTAAAGAACAAACACTGGCTTAAGCAAACCTGGAGGGATTATCACCTGAGTTGCCGGCAATAAATGATATGACCATGATTTGTCCCTGATACACTGGGGCATCTCAGACCACTTTTACATAACATCTCACATCAAGCTTTTGAAAGGGCACCCTTAGTGACGGCAGTCCCTGCGTGGCACAAGATGACTCATCAGCTGGCTTGCAAACAGGCATTCGCATTCAAGCAGGGGCGATTAATTCATGCTTTGTGTAATTCACATTAAGTAATTTGTTTATTTATAATTTAGCAAATTTGGACCGTGACTCCACGACAAAATGGCCTTGCTCATTTCGAATGACATCAGGCGATCCGCAATGTCCACTGTGAAGCAGATGGCACGCATTTTAAGGTTAAAACGGCCCAAAGTAATGGCCGGGGGTGGCCCTGTCGAATTCAAAACCGCGAACCTCTGAAACGGGCTGGGCCACGTCACCACCCCCTATCAACAATCAAATTCGCGACTTTCTAATTGCCAGTCGCACGTTCTGCCTGGGCCAGCCACAATGACCGCTGATAATTCGATGATATGCTTCACTTGACCTATATAAATTTAAACCGACCCAAGGATCATGGCTTTTGCTGATAGGTAATCCCAACCCCCTGCCCACCAGTTATGGTGTGTGAATCACGGTTGTGTTCATTGCGGGTGTGACGTGCGTGCCCTTTCCAAGCATTTCAGCGATATTTTTTCCAAATGCCAATCCTCATGCCCAACCACAGTCCATCTTTACTCAACTCAATTATACATTTAAGTGACTGCACACAAGCATGCATCTCACAATCAACAAACATGTACACTTGCAACACGATCGGGTACATACAGCAGAGTTTTTAAAAGCAAAAAAAAACCATCACGACCGTCCCAATAGAAGTTCATCAAAGGCGTCTCATTCGGATCGTGTTAATAGTAACAATAATTTACATGACTTCGTTAATCCATCTGCTGGATGAAGGCCTTTCCACGCCATGTCGATCGTGATGGTCGTTTTGACGAGACTTCACCATGCTGGTTCGTGAGAGTTGGTGAAGAGGGCTCCAGTAGCAGCTCGAACATAATTCACAATTATCGTTCTCCATGGCCAAGAAGTGAACTCAGCCCAACAGGTTCGTAGATCAAAAATGCACGGCACCAACGCGCTAGCTATCCCCGCCCCATACATTCAGCAATGATTCAAGCTTTCACCTGCGCATACCAAGCTCACGCAACCGCGCGGCAAAGGTCCAAGAGAAGATGCTTATCGGTGCCAGGAATTGGGTGGCCTTGAGAGACAGGCCAGTCCTTTGGAGTCGTGCCACAACGCCTATGCGGATGTATGAGCTCTGACGGTGAGACTTTCGCTGGATGCATCCGATGCCCCCAAATTGCAGTTGCTTCACCTCACAATGCGAAGCCAGTGTCACAGAGTCGGAGCGTTTGTCCATCTTGCGCAGAGATGCAATTAAATTGGCTCCCACGCCATGAGCCTCAAACGAGATGGAACCCGTCGTGGCAGACGCATGGAATAACGTGCATCGCATTTGACACGTATGAAACATACATTAAACAACTGTGTGTGGTATCACCAGATTTAGTTTGTTTAAGATTGATACCCCAAATGCCTCTGCACTAGTTACATTATTCATGTTTTCAAACAGAATGTCAAGACTTCCTTTGGGGAAGATGACAAATTAAACTGTACTGAAACTATTTATATTCAGCATCTTCCTCTACACAGAGATGTGTTTTATGGTTTTGGAGGTTTGGCTGTAGTCCATTATAAAGTATACATGTCTTTTTACTCAGCTTATAAATACACAGGCAGCTTCTATGTAGCTAAATCATTTGCATTGGGGTGTTTTTTTCTCTTCTCATTAAACAGGGAGATGTCGGTTATATTATCGTATATTGTTTACAGGCGTTTTGTTTCAGATACCACAATATAAAATGTAATAACACTTATTTTGAAAAATTGGAAACAACAAAACTCGGATGAATCAGTCAACTAATAAACCAAATAATGGAAATAAATTCCACCTATTTTTGTTTTATATTTAAAGCACAATGCATATTCTTTTTGTTGATATGTCATGATGCTGCTCGTTAGTCTGGTTTTATTTTTTTATTTGCATCAGAAAGCACTTGGAGGGAAATTCATATTTATGCAATGCATTTTTCATGTGGCTGTTATTTAGTGCCAAGCACAAAGAACCATAAAAGGATAAAGGTCCCTATAGGTGGAAAGAAAAGTGTTGAGATAACTCTTGTGGATGGCTCCCTGTCCAATCAGAATCACACTAATTCACATCACCCAGCCTAAGCACTGCCACTGCAACCTGGCGAACTGAATTTAGATTTAGTGATTTTTTTGTTTGTTTGCTGCACAATGCAGGACACAGACGGTCTTAAAAATGTCGTACCTCAACAACTCGTACATGCCCAGTGTGAAAATGAAGCACAACTATCTGCAAATGGAAAACAAAATTTCACAGGCCTGCAAAACCGCAGTGAAGTCAAAGGTCAGAGCATCTCACTGCTTCCAAATAAGCCATGGGATGTCTTGAACAAGGGGTCTAAATTCCACGTTCCCATGGCATGGGCTGGTTTAAACCATAGTTTAACAAAGCGGTACCTATTTTCTCTACCCCAGCGGAATGATAGGCTGAATATATCTCCATCTAGAATTAGAACTGACAAGGTCCCACGTGTTAGTTGAGTGCTCTAACCACAGTACCACCTGACCAGATTTGTAGATTCATATATACATTATTTAGTTTGGCCGAGCATGAATATGCTTTGATAAAAAAAAATACACGAATGCATTCTCACTTGCACCTGAAGTGACATAAGACAGATCCCGTATTTGCTATTATGCACATTTGTGGTTACATTCTGCGTGTACGTCATAGGGGTTGTTTAACCACACTGACCAGTGTGCATTCTCACTTGCACCTGAAGTGACGTTAGACAAACCCCTCACTAACCCACACTGACCATCACTTTCCACTCATGTCAGCCCTGGCAAGGATGTGAACCTAGATCACGTGATCACCTCTCCCACAAAGCAATTTAATAACATGTAATATATGAAGGTAAAATAAAGGAAAAGGTCTCGGATATCCAATCGTTTTGTTTTTGTACCATTTAAACATGACCTTTACTTTCTATATTAACGTCATTTCTTCGCCTATGTTTCTCTATTACGTTCCAATTGTGCTTGCCGTACCATGTCATTGGATGAATAAATTGTCATTTGTAATTCTGCGGCTAGCAGTGCATCACTTCGAGTCAGAAAAAGGACCCCAGAAGCTTATGTCACAGAACTGCTTCTGAAGACACTTCAACAGACCTTCTTTACTCGCACCAGGGGCAAATGTTTAAATGCCCTGCAAAGATTGTCCCTGACATGTCAATCATACTGAAGTGCTTATGTCTGAGAGCTGTAATTGGCTGAGACCATCAACTCGTCACACTTGAGAACCCTGGCTAATCAGTGCTGGCTGAAACATGAATTCGAACCCAGGATCTCAGCCAGCTCAGTGCTCTGACTTCTGAT